ACACCAAGTAAATGCTAACTTGAAGTAGAGAAAACTAGAAAGTTGAATTTCACTTACTCTGCTAAGAAATTCAAGTTTTTGGATTATTAAAAAATATATTCAACATTGAGAAGAATAAAAATTCCAAAGACTTAATTGTGTTCACACAGGGACTGTCATAGATCAAGAGGCATTCTTTTGAAGAATGTAAGGGAATATGGTTTGATTCATAGATGTATCTTTTCTGATATATCCTTATTCAAACTCCATCAACTGACCTGAGAAACTAGACTATGAGAAGAAAAAGCAACATCAACACAGATGTTGTTACTGTTAAGTGCTCAAGCTGACTCCTACTCATAGTACCTGTGTGTATCAAAGAAGGAAACCCGACCCAATCTTGCACCATCTTCACAACCTCTTCTGTTTGAGTCCACTCTTGCAGTCAATGTGTCAATCTGCATTGTTGAAGGCATTTTTCTCCTGACTCTCAATTTTACCAGGCATGAGTCCTCTCTCCAGGGTATCTTTCCTGATAACATTATTAAAGTGTGCAGAATGAACACCCTTTCAACATCTTTGTCTTTACGAAGCATTATGAATCTACTTCTTGCAAGACAGATGTGTTTGTTATTTGCTCAGTCCATGACATTTTCAATAGTCTTCTCTAACACCATAATTCAACGCATCTGTCTTATACGCTTTTCTTTATATTCACTCTAACTTTCACAATGTACTAGGCAATGGAAAATACCATTGTCTGGGCAAAATTTACCATAATATTCAAAATGACATTGTTGTTCTTTAAGAAATCCTGGATAATAGATTTTCCCAATTTGATATGTCATTCGATTTCTTGATTACTGTGCTCATGGATTTTGATGTAAATACAAATAAGAAAAAAAACCCCTCAAAACCCAATAGTTTCTCTGTTTATTATGATGTTTATTGCCCTGTTGTGAGAATTTTTTATTTTTATGTGTTGAAATATAATCAATAAAGGTTTTAGTTTTTAAACTTCAATAATAACTAAGATTGGAAGAAAACTCAGTATCAACCTCTGATATACGTTTGGCACAGTTTTGCTTGATAAAGAGAAATTGAAGCCCTTATAATGAAGATTATGTTCACTCTGGATTACATATCAACATGAAGCAGTCCTCACAAAGCAACCAATCATGACAAGTATAGAAAGATTGATGTTGCCAAATATTTAATGTTTTGGATTTGTAAGCAACCCATATAGAAACAATAGTGAATAAATCAGACATGTTGCATTGGCATGTCTTCTATGAAATACTCCCTTAAGAGTGTAAAAAATGTAAAATGTCACTTTAAGTACTGAAGTGTGCCTAACCAAGCCATGATATTTTTTTATCTCAAATTCATGGGAAACCTGCGCAATGAATTCTGAAGTCAGAAGAAGAATCAATAACTGTGATATATTGAGTTGGCAAAGAATATTGATTATATCCAAAGGCCAGAAAAACAGACATAGTCATAAAGCTCCTTCAAAGTGAAGATGAGAGGTTTCATCTTACATACTCTGGACATCTAATCTGTAGGAATTAGGACATTATGCTTGATAATCTTCATAAGACTCTTTCCACAAATAGTCACATTCAAAGATATAGGGGTGAGAGTTTCAACATAGCTTTTGAGATAACACAAGTTAATTCACAACAGGTGAGGACCCTGATTTATATACAATTGAATCAAGAGTTCAGTGTTTTGTTCTTAAACCACCTTTTGTGGTGATTCTGTCAGCTATTGTCAGCTATGACATAAATTGAACGTAAACTCTGAGCTTGATTGCCTATTTAGAAGTTCATGACATTTTGCATTCAAGTTGAGCCTGTACATTTTCCTTTGGCTGATAAGACCTCAAGTTCTTCTGTGGTTTCCTCCATCCACTCCTTCACTCCTTCAGTCTAGTGCTCCAAAGACTTTTTTCTTTCTTCCCTGTATATCTTGGTAAATGTGGATTATTATCTTTCTTGTCTCTCTGGAGATGTGAAATCTACTATCAGAATTATGACCAAGGTCCCACTGAGTTTAATTATGTTAGATTCACCTTTTAGTTGTCTTACTTGAATAGATGCATCAATGAGAGTTGTAAATAAAATATAAATAAACTATCTGATGACTTTTCCCCTTAGCACAAGAGTGTTTCTTTTTACATGACTGGCTTACTCAGGAGTTGAAATTATGGATTCAAATCATAGTAATATATAAATAAGAAAGTATTTTCTATCTTTTAAATAAACCAATGTTTATGCTTTATGAAGTTAAGAGCAGTATAATGAATTGAGAATGAATATCTTGTAAAGGATTCTTTACTGATTCTAAAGAGTCAGTTGTAAAATAGTTATGTAAACAGGGTTTTTTTTACTCACAAATTTGTCTTTCTTTGAAAACTTTATTTCATTTATTTACTAATTGCTGTGAGAGATTTATTTCAATTATCTCAATTTCTCTCAATTCAGACTTCTTTTTAGGCTATGGTAGCTTACGGGTAAGAAACTGTGTTGCAATCCCAAAGGCACATGGTTCAAATCCACCAGCTACTCCAAGGTAGAAAGATAGGCAGTCTCCTGTCATGTAATTAAACTGCCTCTGAAAACCCACTGGCGGTTCAGCTATGGGTCTGTTCTGACTCAGTGGTATGGAACAACAACATTTAGACTTCTTTTTGTGTTACAAGACATAGTGGCTCTTCATCCTGAGAATCCCCATAATTTAAAAGGTATCATTTTTCTAGAGACTGATTTTCCTGAGGTGTAGAAATTCTTGACCACAGGGAGACATCTCTTACTTTTGAGATGAAGTGTAGACTATCTTATTCTCTATGTGCACAGAGATGGCATCAGTGCATGAAATAGTTTTTCTTTAGTACGAAGGAGAAGGCACAATAATCCAGAAGGTGAGATGGATAATGGTTTCATTATACAGGTAACCCAGGTAATATGCCTATTGCACATAAACCTTCACCAGACTGGAGAGTGTGGCTTGGAAAGTCATAGCCTTTAAAAAAATTTCCTATATGTTCTGATAATCAGTGATGTTAGTGATCCTTTGTAAAAGATAAAGGAATTTACTGAATTCTGAAATATCTAATTACTAAAAAAAGTAATTAAGATCCAGAGTTTATCAATTTCCTTTCTAGAGACTGCAACATTTTTGGAGATCTTTAATTGATAGATATTTGTAAATTATATAATTGGATTAAGATAAATGTTCTATGATTATGGGTAATCTTTTAATTATTAGAAAATGATGTATCAAAAATTTCTTTATTGATTATCAAGAAACAAAGTTGCTATGAAAGTAAAGTATTACTTAATTCTTAGAAATAATACAAAACATGAGTTAGGAAAAGGACTGAGTTGACCATTATGCTTAGTAATTAGAATATGCTTTTATAAAGAAATAAAGTGAATTAGGTTTCTTGCTAGACAGTGATGTGGAATTTGGTGTAGAAAATTTAATCAATTGAGATACTGTAATGTATAAACAAGAGGAGGGAAAATAGAAACGAACTATTTAAGTCATTGTAGTTGTTGTTGTGTGGTGTCAAATAGCTGACCGATAGCTGAGTCTCCAGCAGGTTTTCAGAGGCAGTAAATCGCACAGCAGAAGATTCCACATCCTTCTCCCACAGAGCAGGTGGTGAGCTTGAATGAAAGAGCACTGTATGGTGTGTGTGAAAGAGGATGGGATCTATTGTTTCTTTAGAGATCTTGGCAATAATTAGAAATGTAATCAATCCATGCATCGTATAGAGAAGTTTGACTGGATTTTGGGGGTCATATAAACTCTGCACTGTCCTGTGCCAGTCTCACCATCTGACACATCTACCCCCATTACCCTAGTCACTGAATCAATACCTATTAATATTTTAGTAACTTTTTTGTAAGGGTATATATATA